TCAAAAAATATAAATTTTACCCCATAAAAATTAGGGAAAAAGGTTTTCGGCGGTATTTTAAATCCCAAAACAAAAACCATGGCTTTTATGGTAAACTCCCCAAAAACCACTCTTTTGAGAGTTATCAAAAGATTGATAAATTTTTTTTTTATTTTTTTTTCGATTTCTTCCCTAAACAAAGTCAATAGTTCATGGGTGAATTTGGAGCTTGTAGTAGTTGATTTTGAGGATTTTTGGCAACCCAATAGACAAGGTTTGCACCGACATCGATTTGATTTTGATATTTTTAAACTACTATCATATTTGAAAGAAGGTTTTCATGAGGATTTTGGGGCTCTAAAATTATGCTAAAAACTCCTTAAGGCTTAAAAACCTACCCTAACAACTCTTTTGTTGTTTTGGTTTTTTTTTTTTGATGGGGGAGGGGGGGGGGGTTTCAATTTTTGTGAGGATTGTGAAGGAACCCTGTTCCTGGGCGGGCGCCTACGTTTTCTTAAACAATGACCATAATATATACGCTTGGTTCATTCACATAAACTAGTTTATATTGCATAAGTTCATCCATATAACCCTGTTGAAAGTGCTTAGGCTCAGCCCTAAAACATACCATGTGTGCATCTTTCATATGAACATTGGCTTTGGTGACTGAACTAACAACTTTACGTATTGATTCTCCTTGGAGTCATTCATTTTTCCTTCGTCAAAGGTCAGTTTAACATGGAAATCTTGTTCATCATCATAAATCAAATCTCTTAGACGATCTTATTCTTCATCTAAGTATGTATTGAATATTTGAGGCAAATCTCATTCTATATCCCTCTGATTCTAGATTCAACCTGTGCCAAAATAAAAAAAAGTCCACCTTCAAGTAGAAAACCCCAGAGTGATTATCCTTACATTTAGGTATTCTATCACTCTCCTCTTAACTCGATTGTTCATGCAGAGCATAGAGGTGAAAAGGGTTATACTCGGCATCTTCTTGAGCATAAAGATCAATGTCTTGCCTATGATAGATACTTGCGAACTGGGTCTTAATTTTTAAGGGCCTCGATTCCTTCATCTCTAGGATCACGAAGTGGGTCTACGAAAACCCCCTTTTCGTGATTGCTTCTTGTTGCCATGGGTTCGTCGATATCACAAATCCCAAGGAGAGAATCAACAAACTCTCATTGAAATTAGTAAGATCTAGGTTGAATTTTGCAAAACTTGGCTCGAAATCAGCAAACCTTAGACTTTGAATGTAGTCTCCTGGCCTAGTTGTTGAAGAAAGCCTGAGCTCTGATACCATATTGATGTAGGGGAATTTAAAAAACAGCAAAAACAACAATATTTTCAAGCCAAACACTTGCAAAAACTTGGAGAAACCCTAAGGTTTCCTCCCCACCTAAGCTAGGGTTCAAAGCCTAAGCTTTGTCTTCTCTAGTTAATTTATGCCAAACACACGTGCTAGCCTCCTTAGGCACCCACACACCTCTTAAATTTATTTAATGTTCAAAGCACATTAATTGTCCATGCAATTAAGAAATTGACACCCATGTCCTAATTTAAATATGGAAGTCCAAAATACCCTTAAACAATATTAAGAATTCCAAACATACCAATTTGAACATTAACGCATGAACAATGCCCATGAACAACAACCATGAATAGTAATAAATGAATAGTAAATAAAAATATAAACACATATAATCGCTCAAAAATCTTATTTTAAAAGGAAACAGCGTTCTATTTGCCGAGCCGGTAGAAACGAAGATTTGAAAGGGGGGGGGGGGAGGGGCGGTCGCCTTTGGTACTTCATGGACTCTGGAGTTATTGGCTGTTAGCTGTTACTCTTGTTGCTTTCTAGCGACATCAGTGCCCCTTCCACTATTATAACACAAGGTGGGGACTAGCAATCCGTGAGCATCTAAAATTAAAATTAAAATATACATCCTTTGAAATTTAAAAGAATATTAAAAATTAGAACAATTTTTCCCTACATCAAAAACTCTACATCGAGAGTAATTTGAACTACTCCTGTATTTTTGCCCAAAAACTGCCCTTGCCAAAATCTGTTCCAGTAGCTTCTTTGATCAGGCCTCTCAAGTTTTGAAGATTTTGCTGTGTGGTTGGTGTAAATGCACCAAAAGGTGGCAAGTATTATAACTTTCAAGAGAATAACCCAAGATAGGGTATGGAGGGGGAAAGAACACCATGACTAATTGTTCAATTGATCTTGATGTGCCCAGTTACTAATCAAAGCATTTGAGTAGTGGCGCCAAAATTTTCTTATCTTCCAAATAGTTTAGGAATAGATGGTTTATAATCTCCTCCTCCTTGCATGTGATGCACCTGTTATGCAGAGGGATCCCCCTTCACTGCAATGTGTTACACATTAATGCCATTGAAAGGACCACTCAATCGAAGCTTTGTATCTTCGATCACATACTTATGGGCCCTGTAGATCAGGTGTGGGAGCTGTTGATGAAGATCCCATATGGAGATGGTCATAATGTTTTGAGATACATGAGTTGCATTTAGGATTTCTAAGAGCTCCAAGAAGTCTTGTATCTCTTCCTCCATTGGACCCCTTCTAAATTTTGGGAATTAAACCATCTGTGAGGTAATGATTTCATAGCTTTTTGCCGCTGTAGCTTCTTGGTTTAGAGTGACACAGTAAAGTCTTGGATAGAATGAATACAAAGCTAGCCACAAGATGATTTTGTCACTTGTTCTTTCCTTATATCTCATCATCATCATCAAAGCTTTTTCTCAATTATTTAGGGTTGGCTACACGAATCCTAGTACGCCATTCTGCTTTGTCAAGGGCCAGACCATCAGTGAAGCCATAAGTCACCATATCTTTTATCACTATTTCCAACCATGTCCTATTAGGCCTACCCCTTGCCCTTTTCGAGCCCTTCACGTGAACCAACTTGCACCTCCTAACAAGGTCTGTGCTGAGCATGGTCATCCCACCTAAGTCTACTCTTCATCATCTTATCACCTATTGGAGCCATACCCAAGTTCTCCCGAACATATTCATATCGAATTCTATCTGTTGTCTTGCCACTCATCCATCTCAACATCCTCATCTCAACCACACTCATCTTATGAGGATGCTGTTTCTTGACCGCCTAACATTCAACCCCATAAAACAAAGTTGGTCTCACAGCTGTCCCTAAATCTCATGTTAGAGGAAAATCAAATCATGCAGAGGGTATGCCCTTGCAGGCTCCCGTGGCTCTCGCACTGTTAGTGCCACTAGGCAACCAGCTTGATGGGTCCAAATGATATATATTGAGCATTAATTACTGCCACCGCCTCCTCTGTGGTTAGCCACACATCGACTTGTCCCGAAGGGCAATATTTACCTCCTTTATTCCTCTTATTCCTAATCCCCTTCTTTCTTTTACTTTGTGAGTTGCCCTAGATTCTTTTTACCTATGTACTCTCTCTCTCTCTCTCTCTCTCTCTCTCTCTCTC